TGTATTTGAGGAGTTGGTCACTTGCTAGTGATCACAATGGTAAAGAGCCCCTATCACATGTCAGAGATTTAGAGTGCCAACCACTTAAAAGAGAAATTTAGAGACAAATGGTAATCTGGTCCTTGAAGCCAAGAGGGCTACCTGGCCAAACCTTAGTCCCTCTTCCTATTTCCATGCTGAGACTCCTTGTTAACACATTTTATGGACAGAGAAATAGGGCCTAAGAATAAAGTCAACAACAAAACAAGGACTGGCTCGGTGCTCGTAGCTCAGTGGTTAAGGCGCTGGCCACATACACTGGGGCTGGCAGGTTTGAACCTGGCCTGGGCCTGCTAAACAATGACAACTGCAATGATAGCTGGGCATTGTGGCAGGTGCCTGTAGTTCCAGCTACTTGGGAGGCTGAGGCAAGAGAATCATTAAGCCCAAGAGTTTGAGGTTGCTGTGAGCTGTGATGCCATCGCACTCTCACATAGTGAGACTCTGCCTCAGAAAAAACAGAGTGCATTTTTGAACATTCATCTGCCAAAAGAAATGTGATAAATGTGGTCTAAAGCGAAGTAATAGTTTCCCTACTACTCAGGCTCAGCTTTTTAAAATATACGGGTTTAACTTGCTACTAAGAAGCCAATGATTGAAGGAACTTCCTCCTGTATGAGAGCTAAAGCTGTTTACTTCCTTCTACAGTTGGTGATAAACAGCTGTGAGGAAGGAAATGTTATAATTGAGCAAAAAGATACTATAGCTTTCCTCCAGCACTGACCTTTGCATATCTTTCTTTGGTCCCCTCCACTGACTCATTGCCAGTATGCCAGGGCAGAGCTGGCATTCCCAAGGAAACAATGTATGCAGCTGATACTGTCTTTATTGGCCATCTACTACTTCCCCCAGCCCACCTCACCCCTCTAACTCTTTGGGCCTTTAGAAGTCCAATGAAACTAAGTTTCAATACCACTTTTTTTTTTTTTTTTTTGCAGTTTTTTTGGCCAGGGCCAGGCTTGAACCTGCCACCTCCAGTATATGGGGCTGGCACCCCACTCCTTGAGCCACAGGTGCTACCCCTCAATACCACATTTTTTCTATATGATTCCTGCATGCCATGCCAGTCCCAACTGTTAAAAGTTTATTCAACTTGATCTGTATAGCATCCTAAAAAGATGGATGCTTCATCCATAGTTTGTTTACCAATCCTGGATTGAGAAAGGAAATTTTGGAAAATCACATCTCAGCATTTAATGAGACATCTCCAGGAGCTACTGACCCACTTTGCTACATTAATGGAACATTTAGGCAAGATAAAAAGGTGTATAAGGCAGATCACCAACGAGTTTGTACATTTTTTTCTCCCTGAGACAGGATCTCACTCTGTTGTCCAGGCTGGAGTGCAGTGGCATCATCATACAAACTCCTCTGCAACCTCAAACTCCTGGGCTCAAGCAATCCTCCTGCCTCAGTCTCCTAAGTAGATGGGACCACTGTACTCGTCTAATTTTTCTATATTTCACAGAAATGAGATTTCGTGATGTTGCCCAAGCTAGTCTTGAACTGTCCTCAAGCAGTCCTCACACTTCAGCATCCTAAAGTGCTAGAATTATAGATGTGAATCACTGCGACTGGCTGAGTTTATTCTTATTGTCCTAGGATCTAAATAAGATCTAAAGTTTTTTACTATATACATTCATCCAGTGAATATCAAACACCCATTATGTACAAGGCACTATGGAGAATGCTAGCCTCTTAAAAAGCTACAAATCTAGTTAGGGAAAAGACCATGTTCACAGCAAATGCTATCTTTTTTATTGAATATTCAACTGCCATAAAAGCAGAAAATACTTTTGGAGGAAAAAATAATTTTTGCTGGATCCAATAGTTTTCAAACCTCCTTCCCCTGTTCCTCAGACTAAATATAGACTCCCTTTCCCCATTTATAAATAAGCTAAAAGTTGATCTGTGTATACATAGAGAAAGAAGGAGATATACAACATTCTCTCTACCCACTTAACCTATTACCACCTAGCTCAGTTCATTTTCAGTTGAGTTCCCTGTGTAATTCAAGGTTCCTCATAAACAGAAAAGCCAAAAAAGCTGGTTTATCACACATAAAAACAGTGATTAAGAATACAGTACTATAAGCATGTGCAAAAAGCTACAATAATGAATTTAAAACTCAAAGCTAAGTGTTTACACTTGAATACAAAGGAGATGAACATGCCAGTAACCCTAAAGGTCCAAGCACTCACCTCTTAAATTTGTACTTGAGTTTAAGGAAATGTTATTGTCCTCTACAAACCTGGCTGTTGATACCTTCTAGATCAGTATTTCTAAGTTTAACTGAAACACTGGGGAGTCTTGGCTTGGCACCCATAGCACGTTGGTTACAGCATTGGCCACAAGCACCGAGGCTAGAGGGTTTGAACCCAGCCCAGGCCAGGTAAACAATGACAACTGCAACACAAAATAGCTGGGCGTTGTGGCGGGCGCCTGTAGTCCCAGATACGTGGGAGGCTGAGGCAAGAGAATTGCTTAAGCCCAAGAGTTTGAGGTTGCTGTGACCTGTGATGCCAAGGGACTCTACCAAAGGCAACATAGTGAGACTCTGCCTCAGAAAAAACAGAGTGCATTTTTGAACATTCATCTGCCAAAAGAAATGTGATAAATGTGGTCTAAAGCGAAGTAATAGTTTCCCTACTACTCAGGCTCAGCTTTTTAAAATATACGGGTTTAACTTGCTACTAAGAAGCCAATGATTGAAGGAACTTCCTCCTGTATGAGAGCTAAAGCTGTTTACTTCCTTCTACAGTTGGTGATAAACAGCTGTGAGGAAGGAAATGTTATAATTGAGCAAAAAGATACTATAGCTTTCCTCCAGCACTGACCTTTGCATATCTTTCTTTGGTCCCCTCCACTGACTCATTGCCAGTATGCCAGGGCAGAGCTGGCATTCCCAAGGAAACAATGTATGCAGCTGATACTGTCTTTATTGGCCATCTACTACTTCCCCCAGCCCACCTCACCCCTCTAACTCTTTGGGCCTTTAGAAGTCCAATGAAACTAAGTTTCAATACCACTTTTTTTTTTTTTTT